ATATGGTAGTTTTCCTAAGGAGAGAATAAGCAGAGCAACCCATTTATCAGACTCTTGTGAGGATACTTTTATTCTCTGTTTCTAACTCTTAGACAAACTTTTTTTTTTTTTTTTTTTCGCCAGACAGGATCTGCATGAGCTGTGAACAAGAGTGCTTTCCTGAGGAGAAATATCCTCCTCATATCTCAGCAGACCTCTGAGTCATCCTTGTGTCTTCACAGGGCGGGCCAAGCACCATGAATGAGATGTGTCTCACATTCCTCTTCTACTACCCTCGTAACAACATCTCCAGCTGTATGAGCTACCCTGACATTTTGTACATTGCACACGTACTCGAGCAGGAGGCCTCAGAGTGAGTCCTGAGTCAACATGCTTCTGGAATTAGCAGAGCTAAATGTAGTTATGAAGAATGGCAAACGGAAAAGATAATGAAATGTTGCTTGATAGGGAAGAAAGAGTCATGTACCTGGCTCTGTCAAGTTGAATTCCCTTGTTTCAGGAATCCATCGACTGTGACATTTTAATCTCTTCTCCTTTATCTTTTTTTTTTCCCCTTCATTTTTTTCCCCCTCCTTCCTCATCTTCTCATCATGTCTTCACCTCCCCATTGCCCTTTACTCTTTCCCCAGTGCAGTGGAAGCAATGATGGCCATGAACTTTGTTGATTGGGACAATGATACTGTCAAAACTGCAGAGAAAGCAGCCAAGGAAGCAGATCAAGTAGTCATGATTAAAGCCATTAATGTAAGTCCCCCTTCTGAGCAATTTGTGGGTGGGGAAATGGACTTGGCTCTGATGTTCCGAGAGTAAAGCACAGCTAAGAGATAGAGCCAACACATAACACCTTGGGTAACACCAGCTTTTTGTAGCTTATCCATGAGTCTATGAACTGAAATGGATTATGTGAGTCATGAAGTCCCGTCTCTGAGGCTGAAGTTGCAAGTAACTGTCCAAGATTTATCTAGTCACCATTTAGTTTTGAATTAAAAAAGCTAAAAATTCCTCTCCAAAGAGAAAAAACACTCGCGTCTTGGTAATATAACAGTGCCTGGGGGGTGATGCCGTGGCAGAGTATTTTGGACAGAATAAGCAATAAAGAGTACTAAGATCCCTCGGACAACGTCCACACAAAAGGAATTAGGATGATCCAGACAATCCACATACATGGAACAGGGCTTCCTGTATCCGGTTTATCTGACTGCATTTCAGTGCATCAGTCTGGTACCTACTCAGAGATAAATTAGGGAAAAAATCTCTTAAATTGAGAAAGGATCAAAATCCCATCTTCTTCTCCTCTCTCAGAGAGCTTCTCTGCTGTCAGAGGGGACACCCATGTCATTATTTTCTCTGAGATGGCTAATTACACATCCACACATCGAGAAAACTGACTAAAATGCATCCAAAACATGCAGTGTTATGCCAGAGTCTCGTGGCTCCCAACTTAAAAACAGGTCATGTAATTTTATATTTCCTTCTTTCCTTCCATCCCCAGGAGCTCCAAAGAAATGAGAGTGGTCTAATCCGAGACATTAGTATTCCAGAGGAGGCTGCCTGTCACAATACTGCTGGACACATGTCACTGTCAAGTCTGTCAAGGGCCACTGCAAACCTTCGTTTGACCACAGTACGCACTTCTGAGTCATCAACCACCAAAGAAACTGCTTCACTTCCCCTTCTTTCTCTCACACAGCTGGCGTTTGCCTGCCTTATCTTGGCCTCTGAGTATGGGAAGTGAGGGACAGAATACCAGAACAGATGTGCTGAGGAAGTCTCTGCAATTACCTCTAGTACCGGGGTATTCCAGATCTGATGGCCCTGAACATGAGAGGATACTTTATAATAGAAAATCGTCTCCCTTTGCAAGAAATGGGTTCAGCGGGCATTGGCATTTATTTTATTTTCATAAAAAATACTTTCTAGCATAGTTTGCACTGAATCAGAAAAGCAATGTACTACAATGCAGTAAAGACATGAATTCAGTCATCTCTTCAATAGCTGCTGCTTAATTATTAAATCCAGAGCTTTCATAGATGGACTCCTCTATGTATTTGTTCACTGTAATCATTATCTAGTCTCAAGCTCTCTACATACTCCCTCTACTTAGGTCAGTATAGAAAACTAGAGTCCTTCATTATTAAATGATATGATTGATTCTAAAATTAGTCCTGCCCTATCCATCAGTGACTGCATAACAGGGAATTTACCTGCTGATTGACAAGTAATGACGAGGTGATGACTTGGTGTTTACTGGAAAATAGACCTTATACACTGTCACATCGCAAACCTATGAAATCCAATTGTACAAAAGCTAAACCATTTGCTATTCTCTTTTCCTATACTTTCCCCCAATGTATACATGAGAATTATAAGAGGAAATCTGATTATAGTTATGTTCTTTGTCACTGTACTGACTCTTCCAAATTTAAAATTTTGTACTGAGACTTTTCAAAAATTTATCTCCTCACATTCCCCAAAGCAGGGTCTCTGCTTATTTTGACAATAATTTGTACACCAGGTAAAAACACCCTCAACTTTAACGGAAACATCACAAAACAGAGTGATTAGGAGGGCAACCAACCATGCAAAGGGAATTCCTTCCTCATTGGGATGATGAACATTTATTAGCTAGTAATTGTCTTGGCTAAAACTGAAGCATGGACAGAAAAAAAAAAAAAATTGCCTTGAAAGCAAGCTCATGAAGACAATCCATGAGATTCTAGGAGAATCATCCAGCACTCAGATCTGTGTCCCAAATAAAACACATTACTGAGATCACTGTGCTGTACTTGGTAACACGATCTTAATTCTCACTAAACATATTGCCCTTCAAATTCTTATGGGAATGTATCACATTACTTCTCACAGTGTAGCCACATCACAGAAAGGCCAGTAGTACTGAGACTTCATCCTCCCATGTATTTAATCAGGGGAATAGAATAGAATAGAATAGAATAGATAGAATAGAATAGAATAGAATAGAATAGAATAGAATAGAATAGAATAGAATAGAATAGAATAGAATAGAATAGAATAGAATAGAATAGAATAGTTTCCATTGGGAGGGACCTACAATGATCATCTAGTCCAACTGCCTGACCACTTCAGGGCTGACCAAAGGTTAAAGCATGTTATTAAGGGCATTCTCCAAATGACTCTTAAACACTGACAGGCTTGGGGCATCGACCACCTCTCTAGGAAGCCTGTTCCAGTGTTTAAGCACCCTCTCAGTTAAGACATGCTTCCTAATGTCCAGCCTAAACTTCTCCTGAACCATTCCCGTGTGTCCTGTCACTGGATCCCAGGGAGAAGAGCTCAGCACCTCCCTCTGCACCTCCCTCCCCAGGAAGCTGTAGAGAGCGATGAGGTCGCCCCCCAGCCCCTTCTCTCCAAACTAGGCAGCCCAAAGTCCTCAGCCGCCCCTCACAGGACATGCCCTACAGCCACCACCTTTGTTACCCTCCTCTGGACACATTCAAGGACCTTCAGATCCTTCCTAAATGGTGGGGCCTTGGGCTCATTTTGACTGAGATAATTTTCTTTAGTGTACCCCGGTTGCGTTTTGGATTTGTGCTGGAAACAGCATTGATAACACAGGTGATAACACACTGCTGAGCAGTGCTTACACAGAGTCGAGGCCTTTTCTGCTTCTCACGCCACCCCACCAGTGAGCAGGCTGGGGGTGCACAAGAAGCTGGAAGGGAACACAGCCAGGACAGCTGGCCCCAGCTGACCAAAGGGATATCCCAGACCATATCACATCGTGCTCAGTGTATGCAGCTGAGGGAAGAAGAAGGAAGGGAGAGACATTTGGAGTAATGGTGTTTGTCCTCCCAAGTCACCATGATGCATGATGGAGCCCTGATTTCCTGGAGATGGCTGAGCACCTGCCTGCCAATGGGAAGTGGTGAATAAATTCTTTGCTTTGCTTTCCTTGCATGTGAGGCTTTTGCCTTACCTATTAAACTGTCTTTATCTCAGCTCACAAGTTTTCTCACTTTTACCCTTCTGATTCACTCCCTCATCCCACAGGAGGAAAGAGCGAGTGAGCAGCTGTGCGGGGCTTAGCTGCCATCTGGGCTTAAACCACGACAGGCCCAGAACTGCACCCAGCACTCAAGGCGAGGCCACACCGACGCTGCATACAGTGCGATAATCACATCTTTTGCCCGGCTGGTCACGCTGTGTTTGATGCAGCCCAGGATGTGGTTTGGCCTCTTGGCTGTCAGGGCACACTGCTGGCTCACAGTGACCCTGGTGTCAGCCAGCAGATCAGGTGGGGTGACTGGGTTTCTCCTGGCAGATTACATCTGCCATCAGCACAAAAACTAAATGTAGCATTTTTAATTGGTAAATTCTGCTACGAGCTAGGAAATTTCCTCTAACAATGATCCACAGCACAATGCCCGCACAGCTGCCACCTCCTGTTCTGTGAAAGCATTAGTCATGCGGGAATTAAAAACCTGGAAAGCCTAGGGCTTGTCTTGTTTAGACTAACCTATTCTAGTTACTGCCTTTGCATATTAAACACGCTTTGTCCTTCCCAAAACAGGCTGGACCAATCTCACTTTATGAATCACAACTTGCCATCGGAAGTGACCTACAGAGAGGAATAACATGTTTCTGAACTGCACAAAACCCACATTCTTTGGGACACAGTAAGTCAGCTTGGTTGTGGTTTAGAAGAGCTGCAGACGCATGACAGACGCCCAAAGTGTGGCAGTGTCCTGTTTCAGAGTCGTGAGTACATTTCTCTATGGATCAGGGGCAAAGGTATCACGCTTCCAGGCATCTGCTTTTTGAGAGCACTGTCTTCTGGACTCGGCAGGGCTGCTCTGCGTCCTGGGACTGACTTGCAAAACTCTGTATTTTTCTTCTCCTTTCTATATAAAGATTGTCTTTCGAAATACCAAGTGGGGTAGGTGGGGCAGGTTGTCGAGATCTGGAAACTCAAAATACTACTAATGCCAGAACGACTTCCTGACAAACATGACCACAACAAGGCAACAATCTAACATTTAACGCAATGCTACCAAAAGATCAATTAGAAGTAGGTTTCTCTTCTCATGAGTTTCTGTATGACAGTAAGAGGAAGGAACTTCCTCCTGAAGATTAGAGAGGGAAGGGAGCGACGATTCACCCTCAGTCCAGAGTTTTAACATTTTAACAACAGCAGCGAGAGGAGAATAGAAGGGTGAGCAAGAATGTCAGAAAATCTCATCTATGCTGATTTGAACTTGACTGAATCAACCAGTCGCAGACTACAGAAAGTCACTGATGCCCAAGGTAGGTCGATAGATCTGCACTGAGTTTTCTTTTTTATTCTTCAGCCTCTCTCCCACACATTTTGAAAGAGTGCCATGGAGCACCAAAGCCCCAAAGAGGATGAAGCAAATGTGAGGGCCAGTGCTGTGAAACATGTGCAGGTGGGGTGCACATGTAGGTTTTTTACACCCCAAAAAGGGGATTGTTATGAGATCTACTCTTCATTTGTTAAGGTGCAAGTGTGAGGGAGAGTTTCTTGTGTGATATTGAGCAGTTTCTATCAATTCAGGAGATTGTTCCGCAGGTGAACATCAACCGGTCCTGATCATGTTCTCGTGCATCGGACTGTGATCCCTGCAGCAAACTGATCAGGAGTTTCTGCTGTTTGAAGCAGTCTCGTGCGTAGCCTGTTTCTGCCTGCTGAGCATAGCTGGCATTGCTGCAGGGTTTTTGCCTCCTGGCTTTGTCTGTACAAACCACTCGTTTAATAAATCAAGCATAAAATGTTTCATGGACAGATTTAGTTTGCTTTACTATAAATGACTTTGTAAAACTCTAACCTTAAATTTATCTTTCTTTAATGCACTAGGAACTACTGCATAAACTTTTGCACTGATTTTTCTACATTTGCATAAAATCACATCCTAAAATAACAGACTTCATACACTTTGTGTCCGTTGTTCATTTCCTTTTTTCTTTCTTTTTAACCTTACTGTCTCTTTGACAGAAATAGTAGTTTCTATTTCTTGCCATTCTGTGCTTGTCTTTTGCATAGTGTGATTCCTTGTCATCTATTTTGAGATGGCTGGAGTTTCTAATGCCCCAGGAAACTGTTTCTGTCACCTCTTTCAAGAGATTACTCCACAGCTAAACAGCTACAGGTGCCCATAATAGAAGCCTCCTGATTAAATGTTCCTCTTTCCTTATAATTTAATTTACAGTTTTAATAGCATTTTTATGTTTCTCTGCTTGTGCTTTTCTGGAAAACCCCTACCAGCTCTTCTCTTCCACTTAATTTATGCGCAGTATTTCCCAGTGATTCTGCATATATTACAGAAAACAGCTCAAACATTGATTTCTGTCTTCTTTTTCTTTCTCCTCCAGTTTTCTATTTTCTGTGTGATAATGGATTCCCACAATCAAATGCAGTGTTCACAAGGAATTAAATTAATTCCATAAGCCAGGAGAATGCACTTAAACTCATAGAAGGCATTAACTCTCTATGGTGATAGAAAAAACTGGGCTCAGCGCTGCATGTCAGGATGATTTTCAATGTCTTATAAATTGCAACATCATATTTCTTACTTTCTACTCCCTTTTTATGTGTCCCTGCCTTTCCTTCCTTCCTCACATGTTTTGTTCCGTACTCATTTGTATTTGTGATCTGCAGATGTTAGAACAGTTTTATTTTCTCACTGTCTTATCATTAATTATCTTCCCCATCAAATTTAGCACGATCTGCAGTTTTCAGGTTTGTTTCAATGTTGTAGCCATTCTCACTGCTCACATATGGATGTGAATTGAGTAAGACAATCAGACAACCTTAGACATTTTTCTCCACTTCTGTTTAGATTTAAAATGCATGTGCATGAGCCCATGTTTCCTCTGTTATCGTTTGCACTAAAGATAAACCAGATCTGTTTCTGCCTATAGCAAGTCCTCGAAGGTGTGAATCCAATGGACAAAAATATTATTTGAGCATAAATACAGCCACATAAATGAGTTGCTGTCATGTGTTTAGAATTTCACATCATTTCAGTCATTTTTGTTCCATTTGAGATGTTTCTCAACTTTCTCTGTTATTTTTGCCTGGTTTTAGGTTCTGTATATGCAGAAGTGAAAGTGCAGTCCCTAGACACAAATGCTGCAGCTAGCTACACGTCATGCGGTGAGTTTTTAGCTGTCTGCTAAATGGAAATTAATTTAAACAATGAGAGGAGAGGAGGCCATTCCTTATTTTCCAAAAATGTAGGGATATAAAGCCATATGGGAGTCAATAGTCATCTGCTTTACATACCCAGAGCAGGGGGCAGTTGATGTGTTGCCTTATATGCAACTAAACATTTGTTGGTTTCACTGCTACAAGAACAGAAATACAGTTTGGGCCAAAGAAATCATATATGTTACCTTTCTGTAATACTTTCACATGAATATGCATCTACTCGGGGACTTCCTGAGACAGACGTGATTCTATTTACGTATCCTCAGTGGATTGCTCTTCTACAAACTTGCCAAACCTGCCCTTGGTTCTGTGCACAGCCCTGATTTCTATAACATCCTCTGAGGAGAGGAGCCAGTTCTTTTTATCATCACATGAAGAACCAGCTGCATTTTCTTCACTCTGAACTGAACTCCTATTAGATTCAGCTGATGTTCACTGAAAGAGACAGTAAGCAGCAAAGCCCTATCCAAGGTCTCCATGACACTCAGGATTTTATATAACTCCTATTCACCTCTTTTCCATACTGCAAAACCCTACTGTGCACCATCCTTTACTGCTTCTCTTCTCTGAACCATTTCCCATAAGCTTTTTGAAATAAGGATGGTAGAACTGCATGCACCGTTGAAGGTAGGGACGAATCGTGGACAGACAAAACAGCCCTGATTTTTGCTTCTTTTCCTTCTGAATAACTCCTGATGCATGAGGTTGTAGAGCTTTCACCCTAGGAAATACTCAGAACCTGATGGTGCATGATGCTGGACAACCTGCTCTAGCTGACACCACTTGAGCAGGGAAGTTGGACTAGGTGATCTGAGAAGGTCACTTCCAACCTAAAAGATTCTGTGACTGTGCTCAGGGCAGCAAAACTGAAGTTCACAGATATCCTCTAGAACTTTTTAATTTTTTTATTTTTAATTCACATCAGATCTTTTACCTTCTAGTCCCTGTGTGCAAAGATAGCTTTAAGAGCAGGATTACAAAATGACATTAGTAATCCAGCTATCTCACACCTAATGTCTTTTGTTAGTATATCTACTTTTTATCAGGGCCATATGTCTTCCAGTTCATGTGGCTCCTCACAAGTAACTGCCCTGAAATGAAAAATCTACCCAGTTCTTAGTCAACCATGATACAAGGGATTAATTTAGCTTCTCAACTGTGACCTTATCTTCTGAATATTTCCTGCATACCCTACCATCCACTGGCCTACAGTTCTCCAGCAAAGTACCTTATTTTGATGTGTTTGAAGACACTGTGTTTGAAACATGTGTTCAAAACATGTGTTTGAAGTCTTTTCCTTCTCAAGTTCCTTTCTGTCTAATTGGGTTTTTTATATATAAAATCTTTGATTTCCTAGGGTTTGGGATGCTTTCTATTTTCTTCATTTAATGCCTACAGCTATGAAAAGTTAATAATTTGCTTCTAATAGCTGTGTCATCTTCCTTTTGCCTATTCCTAGATAATTCTTGGTAGGTGCCTTCTATTGGTCATGTGTTGCCAGGATGTTATCCTTCAATAATATATGGTCTGCCTGCATGGATTTCATTCTCATAGCCATTCTTCTTAACTTCTTTTTAATAAGCTCCCTCTCCTTCCTGTAGTTCCTCTCTTTTACCCATCAGCACTCTGGTTTTCCTTATGTAGTCCAGTACTATGATGACTGTCTCCCTTTTAACCCCTTCCTCATATACTCAGTGTACTGGGATGTTCTTCAGTTACCTAACCACAGGTGTCCAAAGCCATCTGGGAAGCATCAATACATTTGGTCTGGCTTCGGTATGCCAGAGATTCTTGGATGTCCTGTGTAACATCTTCCAGGTCTGTGCAGTTATCAGACACCAGGGGGTATCTCAGGGGGCAGAAGCCAGCCCTTTTCAGGTACCTGATATCTGAGTATTGTAGTCTGAGGTGGCTATTCCAGGTCTTCCCATCTAAATTTTCAGACTTCTAGTATATGGGTAGAAGCCAGTCTGACATATGTGTTGTTTACTTCTTAACAGTTTATTTAAATGACAGTCAGTGTTGCATTTTCTGCTTGACTCTTTATATACTCTGACCTTCCCTTTTCCTGAGAACACAGTGGTTTTGAAGTCACACATAATGGTAATATCAACCTAAACTGCTCTTTATTCCATGTCAGCTTCCCCTTCCTCATTTCAAGAGTTACTTACAGCCTTCAGCCCCTGCCAGCTTGCTCTTATTAATTTTAAAAGTTATGTAAAATCTTCTTGATGTCATGTCCAGCAGCTTGACTCCCTTAGAGTTAAGATGAAATCTGTTCCACTTGAACTCTCTGCACCAGATGTGTCCCAATTTCACGAAGAATCAACAGTCTGGACTTTACCCCATCTTCTCAGCCAGGTGCTAAAATGCTGCCTTTTCATTTCTCCCTCCAGTCTTGCACGGTATACTGGGAACCATTTCTGGAATTGCCACCTTAGGATTCCTGGTCACCAACCTGCTTCCCACAAGCTTTCATTTTGCTACTAAAACTTCTCTCCATCCCTCACAGTCTTGATAACCACATGGACTAGTGTATCAGTAGACAGTTTGCACCTATCAGACAGATTTTTTGATTAGTGCAATCAACATGTTTTCAGGGTGTGACTATTTCCTGACCAAACCTCCTCGGGGAGAAAAACAGACTTCTTGAGTGCCACCTTCTTTAAGAGTCTGGTTTAAAATTAATCTAGTTTAATACTATACTAAGTATAACAGCTTCTTAGCATTTCAGTAATTCAAATAGCAATGCACAAGTAGGTGTGAAAATGAGGTTACTGGACACAACAGTCCCGATATCGACTGCAGTTAGGATGAAGATTCAGGATAGCTTCCTCATTTATCTAAAACTTTTTACTTTACAAAGCAGGGGTAATGGCAGCAAAAATCTCAATTTGGTTTTCAGATCCTAGTTGTCACACAGACACCATAAACTTCAAAGATAGCAGAAGACGTAAGTAAATACTCTAGCAGATCCATGAATCGGGAAGAGATGGAAAGCTCTCCTTTACATTTTAATTCAGTGTCTGATGAGTCCAGGCAGCCACTGAACATACTATTTGTCCCCTTTTGGACCTGCTTTTTCTCTACAGCACCCAGCCAGTCTCCCCTGAGGTGACAGACTAATGAATATCACAAGGATCCCCTTGAAGCAAATCCTGAACAAAAGCCCATAAATACCAGTCAAAAAAGAAATAGGAGACAGTTCAGCTCCTCTGAAAAATTTGCTGTGTTGAGGAGTATAACATGGCAGGAACTTTATCTGGTAGGTTGATTTATTTTCGCTTTCATATTGTTATAGAGGACAGATAAGGATCCCAGTGAGCACTTAACTCGAGTATCAAGTGCAGCAGAATCTAGCAAAGTATTCTAGGCAATGGCAGAAGAAAAAAAAAAAAAAAAAGGCATCCACAGTGTATCTATCAGAAGAAAAACACACACCTGAAGGGACAGCACTGAAGGACTTCGCCTAACTTGAAAGAACTGTCTCCATGTGAACCTGAAAAGGGCATTTTTGAATGAAGACAAAGGGTTCCTTTTGCAGTTGTTCCCCTAATCTTTATTTTTTATGTCTATGTGTAGGTAAAATCTGCTGCTCCCGAACACGTGTCGCTGTATTGGTTGCTGTGACAATCCTCCTACTGGTCTCAGCGGTGTGTCTGATAGTTATGTGTAAGTCCTGCTAAAAATGCAATAACTGCAATTGATTTGTGACTCTCGTCCTCTGACTGTCATCTAAGTTACGACATCCAAACCCAGTAGCAACAGGCAGCTAGTTTGAAGGCACAGGACAGTAGTTTTTAGCCAACCATGGCCATAAGAGGAAATCTGTAAAAGAGGTGAGTGGTTTGAAAGTTTAAAATTCCAAAAGAGAAAAAGCCAAAACCCAATTAAAAAACTGACAAAGTTAGAGCAATAACTGATTTATTATACAAATGTTTTGAAGAAACGAGTCAAGATTAGATAATGCCTATTATGAGCATTATGTTTGCTATCCGTGAGAATATTTCAAGGCAATGATCGTGTATCATGTCACCAAGTTGTTCATAACACCAAAAATCTTTAAATAAATATGAATAAAAGCTAATTTGAAAGAGGTAGCTGAGTCACAACTTAACGGAATTTGCTTGTCCCTTACTCAAATAAAAGCCTAGTACTGTCTCTTTGCATATATATCTCTGAGTTCATAACAATCTTTAAATTGTATAAAAGGATATATAGTTTTTTAGAAAGAAAGCATTCTTATTTTCATTGGAAAAAAAACCCCAAATTTTAATACAGCCATGTAGTACTTTCCTTCGGATATTTCCAAGTCATCACTTTTAAATTTCAGATGTGATTGCTTGTTTCTTTTCATCCTTTAATAGTTGTGTAAGCTTAAGAGGCTTCAACAATCAATCACGCTCAAGTCCCAGAGTCTACTCAGAGATGCACATGGAGAAACTCTTTCTGAAGACATGCCAAAACGGGGTGGGGGGGGTGTAATTGTTTTTTTCTTTTTCAAGGCAAAGAATAAAGGAGCTATGTCTGATAGTCCTCTGACCTTTATAAAATGTAAAATATCACAGGAAAGGCAAAATTTAAAAAAGAAAGCAAACAACAAAACAACATAACAAGGTGAAATTACCAGCATTAATAGAACTTTAAGTCAGGAGTTGAATGAGGAGTCATTCAACAGGTCTGGCTTCAGGTATAGTTACTTTGTTTGGGTTTAGTACTGCCTCAGTGAACCAAAAAAATACTCCTAAGAAACTTGAGATCTAGATCAAACTTGACAAATTAAATCAAATCAGTTTTTAATTTCAATAGCATTGAGTTTTCACTTGTGCTCCAAATGAAAACTGTTGTCATTTTCACCATTTTATTTTTAAGTTTAAATTTTATGAGTTTTTCGTGCAGTTTTGTTTTGCCAAATATGCCATTGTTGATGAACAGCTTGTTTAAATGAACTAAATTGTCACCTTTCGATATTGCTCCATCATAAGAGAGCTCTGGAGGCCAGAAGGCATTTTCAATTTCCGTTCATGAAAATGACACAAAAATTTACTCAGTAGAACCTGACTAGAAGTTTTCATGAGTTTATAGCAGTGTCATATTCGTTTCTTTTTCCTTCAGAGAAAATTTATTTGTTAGTAAGTAAAAAAGTGGTACTACAGTTCCTGAGCTGGTCTTCCAAAAACAGGCAGGCCCAACTTTGCTTCAAATGATCCTGCATATTAATTAAATTTTGCTCTTTTCTGAAACCAGAAGCTGAAATCCAGCCTCAAGATATATGCATATAAATGCATATATGCATGAAAAACATAAAATTTCAAACTGATGTTTCTGGTTTATTTTTTCTTGTCACTCTAGGGATTCAGTAAAAGGCAAAGAAAGCCTTGATGTTCCAGATTAGCATATGACTAAAGCATGATAAAATTCAGCGTTAAGTTGCTCCAATTAGAAAATAACACATTGTCGCTTTGTTCAGTTTTGTGCCTTTGAACCATTTTCAGTAATGCTGCTGTCTGAATCTCTCGGGCAGATTTCGGAGTTAAAGGTGACAATATTCCAGGAGAAAATATGGACCCACCATTTACGTGTTGTAAATCGATTTCCATCAGTAGGAGAATCAGTAGGGTGGTGTTCATTTTCGTAAAGCATGCCAGTGTGCATTAACTGCTATTTTTTTCACAGAAATAAATGCTTTAAATTAATGGCAGGTAGTTTTAGTACCAGTATTTTGTACTATTATATAGTAAGGACTTCAGGGTATCTTTACAGGCAGTACTTCAAGCTTCCACCCACAAGCTCAGGCTATATGCCATCCCCAGCTTCTTCATCTTATAAAATGAAACGTTCCTGATATTTGTTCATGTCATGTTTTTGAGAACTTTCCCTGAAAAGTGAATTCTGTTTCTTCCTTGTCCAAACATGTGGTTGCCTCTTCAGCTTCTCAGTCCTCAGCTTTAGCTTCATTATTTCCTCCAAGATTAACTGTTTTAATGTTCGATAATATATAATGCACACTTTATCATGTGTATCTCTGTCTACAGGTTTAGATGTAATTCTATATACCAGAACTTTAAGAACCTTTGTTTTCAAATGTTTGGACATATGTCTTTGTGGTTTGTTTTGTTTTGGGTTTTTTTTATGGTGATATGTAAGACTCAAATTCTCCTACAGCAATATATTGGAAGCTAATCCCTAAAAGGAACAGGGCAAATCCTACAATTTGGTCTCCACAAAATTAGACTTTTATTGATCATCTCTCAATTGTAAATGAAAAAACAGTATTATACATTGCCAGCATTTGGTTTTAGGTGCTACAGTGAAACTTTTTTCTCACCACTCCAAAAGTCTAGTTCTTGCTTGCCATCAGGAAAGAAATGTAGATTAGTAGGACTACCTAGGCAGTGTGGTTTTGAGTGTGGCTTTTACAATTCAGACTTCAGCAATTTGTAGAACAGAAGTTCAATCACTGTTTTGCACCAGGAGATGTCAACTCATTACAATCCCAGTAGAAAAAGAAAGGCACTCAGACTCTGTAAAGTATTATCTAAAATGCTATATATTAGAGCTAATGCTATAAAGAAAGAGAGGACAATATAGAAAATAGTGGGTCCCTTGAGATGCTGGGAACCTTAAGCAGAATTACGGAACAGATGAACTTGGTCCAGTGACTCTTTTCTTGGAAAGCAAATATAATCATCTCCCAAAATACTGTTATTTCATACTTACTTCCTTTGCCACTCACTGTCTGGCTCCAGGCTTACAGAAGCAGCTGATTAATCCTTTGTACTAAAACTGAGATTCACTTATGTCACCGCTCAGCTTGGAGTCCCTGGTAGTCCTTGAAATCCTTCTGGATATTTTCGGCAGTAGAGTTTCTGAAACCCTGATGGTTTATAGAAAAAAATTGAAAAAAGATATGTAGGGAGTAGCGATGTGTTATATAAGACAAGGGTATATTTGTTAATTATTTCAATATTGAGTATTCTACTGAATCATTTAATACAGTAGCTGGGGTGTGTGTGTGTGTGTGTGTATTTCAGCCATTAGGAGTATTTGGAGTTGCCAGCCAAAAAAAATTCTATATTGTCTTTATGATCGTCATAGTGCTAAAAGTTGTTTTACTTTTGCTATGAAGAACTCTGAGATGGAGTTGGTAGAAAAAAATCCCCACATGTTAAAGGCTTGTCACGTTTTTTCTCACAACAGGCGAAAGTGTGCTACCTTCACTTTAGTATTCTTTATTTCTTGAGGAAATAATTAACACCTGCAGCATTCTCTGAAAACTGAAGCTCTTACTGAAATAAGATGTTCAGTCAGGGCACAAATGCTCCTCATGATTTTTGTTAATAAAGTTTGACTACAGAAAAATATATTGGAAGAAGACATGCTACATTTATGATAAAATAACACACATTTTTGCCAGGGGTGGGTACAAGGCTATTTTGCCAATTATCAAGACTAGCATAAAAGACACAGCCAGCAGAAAGATGAACCAATAACCAGATTAGTTTTGATACAAAAGGGTCAGTACATGGGTGAGCACTAAGGGTACAAACAAATCAATCAAGTTATACATAATTGATATCAATCCCACTGACCCCAGCAACAACACCACACAACCAACAATGGGTGGAATAAATGGTGACATGCAGTCTCCCATAGAAGGGATGGGAGACAACCGAGTCAACAAGCCCAACACATCAGACCAAGGAAGCCACACACTCAATCTCTACACAGCCCAGTTTACAAAAGCCAGACCTGACTGGAGCCCAGTCCCAGGGAGGCAGGAGGTCCTTCCCCAACAGGGAACTCTGCACAGGGCACCCACCTCACACACAGACACTGCCCCTGCCTGCAAGGGGTCCCAGCTTTTATCCCT